AATTCGAAGATATGGGGAATGAAATGGCGCTGTGTGGCGAGATCTTTGACAAAGAAACAAACGAGAGGTGAGGCAAAAATGCAAATCGCAAAAACGATCAAATCGTAAACGGGCTGTCAACCTCAATCTAAATTCACAGAAGGAAGCAGCTTCTATGTGCGAAACGCAAATAACAGTAACTACCTGAGGTATGGAACGAAGCAGTGATTCGTTGCCTGTTTAAATAACAGTAAATGGTTTTCGCTTGCTAACCACTGGTTCGAGGCAAGAAGAGACAAAGAGGATGTAAAATTATTTATTTACCGACTCGTTTCGATGCTACGCACGAGCGTCGTTATTAGAATAATATTACAGTCCATTTGAAATGCTAGTACTCCAGGACGACTGTCTGGCAACGTCTATTTTTTGCACTTTTTCTGAACCATCGCCATTTGATAACGGTGCGTTGATCACTGTGGCACTGTCGATAGACTGCTCAAAATTCAGTGCAAAACGATTGAAAATCACTCAATGAATCCTCAGGGATCATACTTCTCATCATACAAGAATACAGCTGTTCAACAAAAGAATCAAAACAACAGTCAACTAGTCCGATGAAAGTCAGACAACTGTAATGCGACCGACTTGTAGCTGCAAAGTGTTTTTTTTCCAACTGCATGTTTAGAGTGACGAGCGTTTGTGTCATCCAGTGCCAAAAGCTCTCCCGCAAACACAGAACAGAACTCGTCACTCTTCTGTTTAAGCATTTCCAAGATTTAATTAGTTTTTACTATTTTTCTAGGTATAGCACCCATCGAAACGGATTATGTGACTTTTAGCACCGCATGTCTAACATGTTATTCTTTGATATTTTGCTCTGTTTTCATCCATCTCATACTACACGAAGTCGTTTTACTTCTCCCGTATTCACAAAAGATAACACAATCCCAGCCTGTTCTCTTCAAGCAAAATATGTTACACAATCTGAAGAGTACAAATAATGCATCAAAATATGTTGAACAGCGAATAAAAAACAACACCGTTATGAATAATAGAATAAAACAGAGCCAAATAATTAATCCAGACTAATAAACAGTAATTAATAAGTTTACTTTTGTGATACTGGTTTTATACGCGAATGCTTAAGCGAAATCACGTATCACTGTGAGGGAAACAAGTTTCGAGTCAGATGTCTAAAGAAACTCATATTGTGGCTAACGTAATTGTTGTCACATCCATATTCTTCTGGTCAACGATAAACGAGTGAACTAAAGACTGATAGTTAAGCAGAAGCCGCTTAAGAAACGACAAAATCATGCAGAAACTATCCTGTACATAAAGTGTGACCGTCAAATTGTAACACCTGTAGAAGAGAAAACTGATCATGAAGGTTCATAATAATTTAGCATTAAGTCATGGGTGTTTTAAAGGTAGCTCATAAGGAATGCATGCAAACTTCATCTAAAATTTTCAAAACTAAATTATTAAATTAATTTATAACAAAATCAAACAGAAAATAACGTCAGCTTTGATGCTCAAGTTCATTTTTGAATGACATGCTTAGGGTCGGTGCGCGATAGTAAAATAATGATAAAGACTACGCTCTCAACGATGAATAACCGTCAGTGCAATGCCAGAGAGCGACGTATTAAACTTAAGTGAATTACGACGGTTGAAGTGCATGAATCTGCGCTGGGTTCGACGCATGATGACGAATAAATGGCAAGGGCACGCAAAGAATGAATGCCGAAAGACAACCATCTACTGAAGAAACAGATTCTGAAGGCAGCTTCAATCGATTCTGGAACCAGTAGTGCAGCATATGCCATCCCCGAATGTCACATACAGAACCATTACCGCAGATGAATTGTGCCTTTCATATTTGCAGCAGGTACAAATCACTGTTCAGAGCCTAGA